CTGCACTCTCGACACGAAACGAAATAAAATGCGTGCTAATGGCATGCCGTGCCACGCCACTTTGTGCATAGCATTAATCGCCATCGAAATCGCGATTTAGTTCGGTTCGGACACCGCACTGAGACGGTTTGGTCAATCAAAGAAATAACATTTGAGTCAGGTTTTCAAAACAACAAAAATTCTGCTTGTGCAATGCCGCCAATACAAAGCATACCAGAGATTGATTTAATTATTGATAATAAGGTAATTTGATTATTTTAATGTTTTATTTGGTAATATGACGCGAATAAGCTTATGAAAAATAAAAAAAAATGATTTGGAAAAAAATTTAATTTTTTAAAAGGTTTTTCACTAATTTCTCTCAAACTAATTAAGTTTTTTAAATTATTTTTTCATAATTATTATTAACACTAAATTTGGAATCATTGGTGTCAAAACTTTTCATAATAACTTTGTTTTGTTAAAAAATACAGACTAATTAGTGTCAGTTTTATAAATTTTTCAAAGTTTAACTTCAATTGTTAATAACTTTTAGTATAAAAATCTTAGGGCAGAAATTTTTTACAGATAGATTTAAAATTTTATATAAAATCTAATTATGAAAGAATTATGCTTATAAATCAAATAGTTTTGAGTTATTAATAAATTACTATAATATGTACATATTGATATGTTGCTTTATTGGAAAACTAGAGTAATAGTGTATTTTTTCTAGTTATTAATTACTAACTCAAAAACTAATTGATTCAGTTTAATAAATTTGATGTAGCTTTCTTAAGTATTAAATTCTGAAGAAAACTGAACAATTATTTTATTGATATCAACTTCTTATCAAAAGTTATAAACAAATTTATTTCAATACTCAAATCGTATTCTTAATCAAATTTTAATTGTTTATAACTCTTTAAATAATGGATTCATCTTAGAAATATTTTTCAGTTAAATGTAGAATTTAATAATAAATCAATTTTTGAAAAAATTAACCAAAAAACTATAATAGTTTTTAAATAAATTAATAAAAACTATAATTATCCACTACTCAATATTCCAGTTTGAAGCATATTATTCGAATCGGACATAAAACGCGATAAATGTCGATTTATCTACAAAAAATATTATTGCCCCTGTATAATAATTAAGTTATTTTCTGCGTTTTGCACACATTGCGTCGCCCCTGGTTAGCCTTCATGGATCCGTAAGTTCTTCGGCAAATTATGTTATTGAGCTCGATTCGCGCTCGTTTTCGCATTCGCCGCAAAACTAGCACGTTTGCTTTTCCATCCAACACTAAATCCACACACACGCCGGCGGCGGGGAGGGCGGTGACATCTTATCTCAACAACTACACACAAAATTCTCTAATCGGTAACAACCGGTAATTCACCAAAAACCAGCTGCATTCCGAAGTTAATCACCTCAAAATCCAACAAATTAACCTGCCACACACACACACTGGTCTCCGGTCGCACTGTTAAAAACCAGTGGTGTGTGTGATAATTAAGAAATTAACTCACAAATGTGACATTAAAATGTAAAACACACGAGCCGGTCGCCACGACGACGACGAATGACATAAGATCATGGTCATTAGGAGCATGAAATAGAAGGCACGACTGAATTCATGCCAGTTTGCCCCGAAGGAACGAAATATTAATAAGTCTTGACCTTGCGTCGCAGCGGCAATCGCCCGTCTTTTTGCGATAATTAACAATTCTTCACTCTCGCGATTAATTATCGTACTCATAATAAGCTGATTTTGCATTCTATTTGCGCGCAACACACAATAATTCGCTAGCATAACCTAAAACCCAACATAACCTCAAAAAAGTTTCGAGCGCAATTTCCTGACGCGCCCGCTAAGTTTCCGCTTCCGGCTGGGTGGAACAAGCGTGTTCGGAAGTGGATTGTTCATTGATCAAAGATGTCTGTCTTTTCGTTTGCAGAACGGATACCCGTCGAGGAGGCGTTCGTTGGTCGATGACGCTCGATTCGAGACGATGGTTGTCACCCAGACTAAGCAGACCGTCTTGGATGAAGCGCGTCTGCGTGCCAACGGTAGGTGGCGACACTTGTCAACAACATAACCTGTTTTATTCTGATTATTTTTGCACGAATTTATTTATTTTTTATTTTTTATTTTATTCTGTGTCGTATCGCATGATTAGACTCGAGCCTTGAACCAGAAGTCGATGACAAACCGCAAAAGACCGAGCAGACCGAGGAAGGCGAAGGTAACCATACTTTTTTTTTGCTGCTGCTGCTTGGTAAATTACTTTTGTAACAAGTATGCATTGTTCTGTAACGTTGCAAAAGAATGCGCTGGCTTAAACTTGACCTAAAGTGTAGCGATCTACGTAAATGCACTTTTAAGTGAAAGGAAACAATCACAAAGCGCGGCGTGCAACAATTTTTATACAGAGTGTTACAAAATATGAAAAATAATTTTTTTAAAGAAAATAATTTAATTTTTTTTTCTATAAAACACTCTGTATATTTATTTTTTATATCCGGCTGTGAATATAATTGCACTAAGAGCCACTCACTTTTTCCGTGCCCATGAAAGAGGCTTTCTAAATGTCGCGCCGTGATTTTCATCCCTTACATTCTGAAGAGCATAATTTTTCCACTCGGAAACGCGCGTTAAGCCGCTCAAATATACTCGTAAAATCTCGTCGTAAATCCCCAACCATTTTCAGATACTGGTCTAACCGAGGAGGAAGTCATCCTGCAGAATGCCATCGCCGAGGGTGTGGATGGTGACAAGGTCATGCAAAAGGCGGCGTTGGTGTTGCGCTTGCGCGATGGCATGTCCTCGCTGTCGCGTGTGCTTAAATCCATTGAGAAGTACGCGGGGTGGTGAACCACTTGGAGACACGCCCGTCGAAGAGCGACGCCTCTCCAACTGGACGTGCTCATTCATGCTGAGCTCACGCGTTTCGAATCTTCTGTTGTTGATTAAATCCCTCAGGCAGACGGCTTCGTTGACCAATGTCTCCTTGGTGGGTGATGACAGCGTCACCAACAAAGTCCCTGGTTCCCACGTCATGCTTCTGAGCTGGACAACTGTAATCATTTGATGACCAAATACGAGCCTGATTTGGACATGAACCATCCGGGTTTTGCTGATAAGGAGTATCGTGCCCGGCGTAAACTCATCGCTGAGGTTGCATTTGCTTACAAATAGTAAAGTTTGGTTAGGAATTAAAACTCGTAAAATCTCGTCGTAAATCCCCAACCATTTTTCAGATACTGGTCTAACCGAGGAGGAAGTCATCCTGCAGAATGCCATCGCCGAGGGTGTGGATGGCGACAAGGTCATGCAAAAGGCGGCGTTGGTGTTGCGTCTGCGCGATGGCATGTCCTCTTTGTCACGTGTGCTTAAATCCATTGAGAAGTACGCGGGGGTGGTGAACCACTTGGAGACACGCCCGTCGAAGAGCGACGCCTCTCAACTGGACGTGCTCATTCATGCTGAGCTCACACGCTCGAATCTTCTGTTGTTGATTAAATCCCTCAGGCAGACGGCTTCGTTGACCAATGTGTCTCTGGTGGGTGATGACAGCGTCACCAACAAGAGTCCGTGGTTCCCACGTCATGCTTCCGAGTTGGATAACTGCAACCATTTGATGACCAAGTATGAACCTGATTTGGACATGAACCATCCAGGTTTTGCTGATAAGGAGTATCGTGCCCGGCGTAAACTCATCGCTGAGGTTGCATTTGCTTACAAATAGTAAGTTTGGTTAGGAATTAGAACTGTCAATACGAAATTTAGTCTATTTTCATTATTTTCACTATTTACACACAGATGGCGTTAGTTGAAGTTGGTATTATAATATGTTTTTTGTTATTTTTGTATAGTGGTGATCCAATCCCAATTATTCAGTACACCGAGACCGAGCATAAGACATGGACTGCGGTGTTCAACACCGTGCGCGATTTGATGCCGAAGCACGCGTGCGCTGAATACCGCCGCGTCTTCCGCATGCTGGAGGAAGAGGGCATCTTCGTGGCGGACCGCATTCCGCAGCTGGAGGAGATGTCCAAGTTTCTGCAGTCGCGTAATATCACTGGCTATTTCACGCTGCGGCCCGCTGCTGGCCCGCCGACTTCGCGCGACTTTTTGGCGTCGCTTGCCTTCCTTCCGCATCTTCAGAGCACCTCCAGTATGTGCGCTAAGCATTAACTCTCCGTGGTATCACACTCCTGAACTGTAAGTAAAAATCTAAAAAAATTTTCTGTAAATTTTCGGAAAATTTTATTGTTCCCTTTAAATAAAAATATTAATTTTTGGCGTTTCTGATAATCTAAGACGATAGTTTGATCAAAATTTTTCGATAAATTTATGTTGAATTTAATATTTAGTTAATTCCTGCACCATATCATTGGGCTACTAATGTTCGCATTTTGATTAATTCACAATTAAGTAAAGAAAAATAATTGAATTGATTCATAAAAGTGTTTCTGGAGCATTTTTATTGCTAATAACTCCGCATTAAAATGAAGATATTAGAGTAATTTCTTCAGAAATATGTTCGGTAATAGATTATCTATGCATTTAAAATCTATCACAACCAAATTTCCGAAAATTAATTGCATTAATTTACAAATTAGCAAAAAAAACGTAATTTTTTCCTATTTTTGCAATAACTTCTTTAAATTAATCAATATTTTTAATTCTTTTGCATATTTGGCCATAAAACTTTCTAAACAATCAATTAAACCAAAAAGAAAATTTATTTAACGTTTTTCTATTAATTAATCAGTAATTAACTTAACAGTAATTAACTTAAAAAATACGATTTTGAACCAAAAGTAATTTTTTTTTACATAAATTTGTCAAACACACAGTATTTTCGTATCATATTAGATGCATAGGAAAGTTAAACTGATACAGTTACCGCCGAGAGAGGATCTCGATCAAAGAACACTTGTGATTCAATTATAAAAGCCATTAGACGGGGCGTAATAAGTGTTCGTTACCGACGCTGCGATCGCCCGTTTTGCTGATAAGGAGTATCGTGCCCGGCGTAAACTCATCGCTGAGGTTGCATTTGCTTACAAATAGTAAGTTTGGTTAGGAATTAGAACTGTCAATACGAAATTTAGTCTATTTTCATTATTTTCACTATTTACACTCAGATGGCGTTAGTTGAAGTTGGTCTTATAATATGTTTTTGTTATTTTTGTTTAGTGGTGACCCAATCCCAATTATTCAGTACACTGAGACCGAGCATAAGACATGGACAGCGGTGTTCAACACCGTGCGTGATTTGATGCCGAAGCACGCGTGCGCTGAATACCGCCGCGTCTTCCGCATGCTGGAGGAAGAGGGCATCTCGTGGCGGACCGCATTCCGCAGCGCTGGAGGAGATGTCCAAGTTTCGCAGTCGCACACTAAGAGTTTCACGCTGCGTCTGCTGCTGGCTCGTTGACTCTGCGCGACTTTTTATGTCGCTTGCCTTCCGCATCTTCTTCAGAGCACCCAGTATGTGCGCCACATTAACTCTCCGTAATACACTCCTAACTACCGTAAGTAAAATCTAAAAATTTTCTAAATTTTTTCGAAAATTATTAATTTTGAATAAAATATTAATTTTATGTTTCTGATAATCTAAGACGATATTTGATCAAATTTTTCGATAAATGTATGTAGAATTTAATATTTAGTTAATTCCGCACCATATCATTGCTACTAATGTTCGTATTTTTGATTAATTCACAATTATGGAAAGAAAAATAATTGAATTGATTCATAAAAAGTATTTTGGACATTTTTATTAATAACTCCGCATTAAAAGAAGATATAAGAGTAATTTCTTCAAAAATATGTTCGGTAATAGATTATCTATGCATTTAAAATCTATCAAAACCAAATTTCCGAAAATTAATTGCATTAATTTCATAAATTAGCAAAAAAAACGTAATTTTTCCCTTATTTTTGCACACCCCTTTAAATTAATCAATATTTTTAATTCTTTTGCATATTTGGCCATAAACTTCTAAACAATCAATTAAACCAAAAAGAAAATTTATTTAACGTTTATTAATAATCAGTGAATTAACTTTAACAGTAATTAACTTTAAAAATACGATTTTGAACCAGTAATTTTTTTACATAAATTGTCAAACACACAAAGTATTTTCGTATCATATTAGATGCATAGGAAAGCAACCGATACAGTTACCGCCGAGAGAGGATCTCGATCAAAGAACACTTGTGATTCAATTATAAAAAAGCCATTAGGACGTGGGCGTAATATGCTCGTTGTTACCGACGCTGCATTCTAATTAACGGCGAACTTCAAATGACACGCGTACTGCATTGTCGTTGGAAATTACCGAAGCAAAAAATCAAAATGACATGCTAATACTACATTCGCCATAAAATGACAGCACTGAATACAATTGTTTCCATTTTTCTTCACTTTCTTACTCTTTTCATGATTCCATTCACGAATTATTAAATGCGCCGTCATGTTGCTTCACCCGAGCTTCGCGCAATTCTCCCAGGAAATCGGCTTGGCCTCCCTCGGCGCTTCCGACTCCGAAATCGAAAAATTATCCACTGTAAGTGCACTTTTACCTTTTTTTTGCTTCCATTTTCTTTCTAAAGTTAAAGAAAAGATAATATTCCGCGTGCTCCTGTAGTTAAGACGTAGCAAAATTCTCGCAGTGAATTGATTTAATTCCAGCATAAGCAATTAAATGGTAATAATATCCGAAGTCGGTTGGCAATTGGCAAATCTAAATGTATTGCGATTAACGTGTCATGGTCAAGCGCACGTGACACGCGCTCTCGCGCGCCGTTCAGAGAAAAACGGACGACGGATTTGCAAAAGCGACAAGAAGTCGCAAAACGCGCACATGGTCATTTACCATGTGTTTCCACAAAACAAGAGACGGAATAATTAACGCCGCTCTTTGCATAATCACCCAAAATTGCGACATTTACAATCGCGAGTTCTGCGCGATTCATTACCGTAACGTCATTGGGAATCATGGTTAATGACTCTGATAGCAATTTTACGACTATATTAATACTCATAAATTAATTAGAGCATTCAATTAATTTCTAACCTATTTATTAATAGATGTCACTAGTAATCTAATTTTTCTTACTAAAGGTCTACTGGTTTACCGTGGAATTCGGCCTCTGCAAGGAAAACGGCGCTGTCAAGGCGTACGGCGCTGGTTTACTGAGCGCTTACGGTGAATTACTCCATGCGCTCAGCGAGAAACCCGAACATCGTCCATTTGAACCCGCTAGTACCGCCATTCAACCTTATCAGGATCAGGAATACCAACCGGTGTACTATGTCGCTGAGAGCTTCGAAGACGCCAAGGATAAGTTCCGGCGTTGGGTGTCGACTATGTCGCGTCCGTTCGAGGTGCGTTTCAACCCGCACACTGGCCGCGTCGAAGTATTGGACACCGTCGATAAACTCGAATCCCTCGTCCACCAGCTGAACACTGAGTTGTTGCATTTGGCGAACGCCGTCAACAAGATGAAGGCGCCCGCGCTTGAGTAAGCCGCGCAGCCACCAGAGGTCGCCACCATGCCAAAAAGTATCTAACCAATGCAACCAATGAAAAACACACAAGCAGAAAACAAAAAATTAAAAACAAGAGAAAAAAGCAGGTATTGTAGCCGTGTTATGTTTTAATTCGGTCGCATTTTGGCACCGTATGCACACACTCGTAAATTTTAAGCATGGGATCAAAAAATGGGAACAAAATTCTAGTTTAGCAATATTTTTGGGAGGCAAAAAGTTGTTTGACTCATTTCTTAAGTAACGTATCGGTATTTTCATTGTGTATAAAGTCGTCCATTTCTTCTACGTGTATTATAACTCTGTTAGGCATCTATTATTATTCTATTATTGTATTATTAATTATTGATAATTTTATTATACACTCACACAACACGCAACTCACACACAGCACACACAATTGTAGATAGTAAGTGATCGCACGGCGTTTGGACTATTTTCTTGCGGTAGGCGATTGATTCAGAAACAGATGCAGGCGAACACAACACGTTCGCGGTGTTGCGCAATGCACCCGTAACGATTTAACGAGAGCGCAATTACACCGTCGCTAATTACGTCTGCGTCTCCGGCCGTTTACACTTGTATTATATAAATTATTATTATGTGTGTGTGATGGCTCGCCTACTTTCAAAACGCAGAAACAAATGCTGTGTGGAACTCACTTTTCGTAGTTATTGTAATTGTTAATAATTGTGAAAGAAAACATGTAAGATATATAAATTTATTGATTGTAGAGTTTAAAAACGCCTGTAGAAGGTGAATTAATCAAAAAACTATGTATGTAGATGTTGAGTACTTATAAATAAATATGTGCAATGTGAAAATATATGCAGTATTATTTAAATTTAAGTTTAATTGGGATAAAACGAAGTTTTGTTAGTTACAGCGCTTATAACTCAAGAAAGGCTGAACATATTTTTATTATCTATGATTTATTGGATTCTTCATGGTCCAGAATAAAAGAATAAACATTAAAATATTAAAAATTATGATTTAAAAAGTGTTAAATAAGTGATGAAAGTTGTTATGAAGTTTTAATCATAGTTATAGTTAAATAATTGACTCCCAGATGGCGCTAAAGTTCATTATTAGCAATTCTCAATTCCTTAAAATAAAATTGTGAATCTTATTGATGAAACCAACACGTTTTATGCCCAAAAAAGTAAAAATTAATTATAGTTTAACCGAAAAAACTCAAAAACAATTTTAAATGTACTAAAATTTATATTTCTATATCAATATTCAATATTATTATCATTCCTCATTGGCGTTATTAAGATGGTACAAATATTTATGTACATTTGGTTGCCTATTCCTTCGCTGAAACTTCTTTATACCTTCCATAGTAAAATGGCGGCTTAGCCCACGTTGCCCGATGATTTGCGATGAGTTGTGGCCCGATAACTGTTGCATGACATGTTGTACTAGGTTCTTCTATACGTGTTATACTCGAGCAATGTGAAAATATATGCAGTATTATTTCAATTTAAGTTTTATTGGGATAAAATGAAGTTTTGTTAGTTACAACACTTACAACTCAAGAACGGCTGAACAGATTTTGATTATCTATGATTTATTGGATTCTTCATGGTCCAGAATAATAGAATAAACATTAAAATATTAAAAATTATGATTTATAAAGTGTTAAATAAGGGATGAAAGTTGTTATGGAGTTTTAATCATAGTTATAGTTAAATAATTGACTCCCAGATGGCGCTAAAGTTCATTATTAGCAATTCTCAATTCTTTAAAATAAAATTGTGAATCTTATTGACGAAATCATCACTTTTATGCCCAAAAAGTAAAATTAATTATATTTTAACGAAAAAAAAAACACAAAACAATTTTAAATGTACTAAAATTTATATTTCTATATCAGTATTCAATATTATTATCATTCCTCATTGACGTTCTTAAGATGGTATAAATAATTATGTACATTTGGTTGCCTATTCTTTCGCAGAAACTTCCTTATACCTTCCGTAGTAAAATGGTGGCTTAGCCCACGTTGCCCGATGATTTGCGATGAGTTGTGGCCCGATAACTGTTGCATGACATGTTGTACTAGGTTCTTCTATACGTGTTATACTCGATTTGGTTGTTTTAGTAGTTTTGTCGTTTTCACCGTTTTACTCGCATTACTCACGCCATTTTGACTGCTTTTCAAACATTGTTTACTTGGCGTTTTGCTTGTCAACTTTTACTATTCTTAGATTGATTTTTATTGATAATCCCATTAAAACAAAACGCAGCCCTTCTTTTCATGTCAATTGTATTAAGCAATTCCTTTCCCAGTGCTTGGATGATCGATGATGGCGACGAAATGAACACCGGAAGTATAAGATCATTATACGGCATCGCCATACGGAGAATCGTATTAATCTACAAATGAAAACAAAATTGAATTAAATTTAGCATGAAATAGATTTAATGTTTTGTGAATGTTCGAGGTAATGATAAACAAGTCAAACACAATTAATTAAAGCAACCAGTATGACTAATCAAAGGCGTGCATATCGCGTGCGCACCGCGTGTCTCGTTTTATTTTATTGTAATTAATCGTAGCATTTAATTAACGATGTCTCCGGCCTGTCAAGCGACTCGCACGCTCACCGGTGTGTATCTAATGCAAATTCAAGTGCGTTCTTTTGTTTCACACTCTCGATTCGCTTTCGCGTTCACATTCACGCCAACACAGCGTGAACTGGTGAGGTTTAATGTGCTAATTACCGCCGAAGTGATTAAATAATTAATTTGTGTGATAATTACAGGAAACCCTGTGTT